CTGTCGGACGAGTGCCATGCTTCTGGGCCGACAAGTCCAATACCTGACTCAATGCTGACAACACGTGGGCGTTGCACCTGCGAACGTCCCTTCGGGACTGCGCCCTCTAGATTCATGGGTACGTGGACAGCAAGCGGGATTTTGTGAATAGGGCCTTCTAGGAGTTCCTGCGAGGGCAGGACTTCACTGCAATCCTTAAAAATGACATGCAATATTCCATACTCTGTTGCAGTTTGTCCTGAATCGGGTCCTCCAAACAAGGTGATCCATAACGTGATCCTCAAGGTTCTCAAGTCGGTCGAACTTTGCAATGCTGAGAGAGACATTTCTGTCACGCCCGAGGAAGGTCAGTACCAAACGGCAGTTCATCACCGGCTCTCTTTTCAGAAAAAGTGGTTCCACAAGATTCGGCAAGCTCGATAGAGGGTAACGTGCGTGCAGTCGCCATTTGAGCTGTGTGTGAGCAGGTTGGTTTTGCTCCTCAGCTGAGACATGGGTCCTCACACTCCGAGCAAAAAGACATCACCAGGGATGGCATGCCCATCCAGGACAGGTGCTAAGGCACCCGCCGTGGTTCCTTAACGCACTGTCTTGGGGTCAGGGGAATTCCGTACAACAGTCACAGAGTGCATGTTTACGTTGCATTTTGGCGCCAACGTAAAATTGAAAAGTGCAATAGAGGCAAAAAGTGGGGCGTGGAAAAGACAAGGTTTGTCGCAAGCAAGGAGGTATGTGAAATTTGATGGATGAGGAAATGGAGACGCTTTATGGCGCACTTGCGCATCCAGAAAATGAAAATGGTGGCTTCGGTTTTTCAGCTCCGCGAATGAGAAATCAGCAGATCTTTGAAGCCAATTCTGGCTTCAAAATTTGCCTTCTACGCTTCCATTTTTCAATGTTTGAAGCCAAAACTGGCTTCAAATTTGAGGCCGTTTTTGGCTCCAAAAATCGGGTCGGTCTCTACGGTTTTCAAGCGTGCCCTGGGACTTTTTTTTGCGTCTGTGCCCATCCAGCCACAAAGCTGGAAAGTCACCTGGCTCAACCAAAGCTTTAGCTGTGTTTGCTTTGGTCGGATGACGTGCAGAAGCCACTTGTTGGAACTGCAGGGGCCCATGAACCGGTCTCGGAATTTCTGTTGTGTTTTTGAGGCTAAGTTTGGCTTCGAGGAAAGAAGCAAGTTTATGGGTAGTTTCGATGTCTAGCATATGTACCCTATAGCGCAGTTTGATGTGTGAGGTGGAACCATTGAGGTAGTAGGTGTTGGGTGAGTTAGGTGTGGAAGTTGTGGGGGGGTTGTGAGGGATGCGTCAAAAGCGCCATCTTTGCCAAGTCACCCACTTCCTTGTCATCTTTCCAATAGCTGCCCCCCCTACCCCCTAGACTCCTAACGCATGAACATGTTGCGAGGTTTTTAGAAGAGACGTGGAGGAGTGAGTTCCCTGTATTATATAGTAGTATATATTTAAAACAGGGTGGAGGAGTAATTATATTGGAGGAAACAAGCGGAGGAGCATTACACTCCTCCACATTTTGTTGTTGTGTAAGAGAGATCATTCCGTTTCACAAGCTGTTTTTTGTGTTTTCTTGAGTAGAATTTCAGCGGGGGAGCGGAGGAGTGGTTACGAAGATGTCAATTTTGGGTGTGGGCATGGGAATTTCATGATTGGTAGAAGTTTTGTTGACTCCGTTTCTGGCCTCAAAACAACTTGCAATTCTTTAGACCGACCAGAGTACCCCCTCAGAAAATGCGTTGTTGTTGTGTCTGCACGAGTCGGTCAATCTCCCCCAAGTCAAGGGGAGTATAGCATCTGAATTGCTCTCGCCCACAAAAGGCCCGGATGCGTGTTTCCTGGAGCTCGGTCTGAATGATCACCTCTTGGAGCGCTATGCAGCTGAGGGATTTGCGTTAGGCGTGGCGGCAGCCAGATGTGGGTCATGGCCACACATTGGGCGAAGGTGGGTAGTGCCAAGCATCACCAAGGTTCCCCCTGGGCGCCGGCCGCGCCTGAGCACCGATATGCCTCTCGTTTCGTTCGTGCAATCAGTTGAAAGGGTTGTGCAATGAGAAGGAACTTTTCCATGGCATGCTTGCGCTGCAACTCCTGATTCCCTTGGCAAGAATCAGGGTCGCTGACAAAGCTGTTCTGCCAAGGACCTCCCGAATTATGATTGCCACTCGGGGTAGTGGCCTTTTGACTGCCTTTTTTTTGCAATTGTGTGAGTGATGCAAAGCCCCTTTGATTGGCTTCGCCACATCTCGATCGTGCGCTGACCTCTCCTGACAGTTCGCATCATGAATTCAGGCCCATAGGTAGTTCTTTGCCATCTTTTGTTTCACCTGTTTCACCTCCGTACAGTGGAAACACCTCGCGATGGTGGGAACTCGGCTTCTGGCCGGTTTTGGGTTTGCTTGTGGTTGGTTTGGGTTTTGCTTGTGTTTCATTCCCCACCATTATCAGGCGTTTTCTTTCCTTTCAATGATGACCTGGGCACTCCGCCCACATGGCGTCCGCACTCGTGGAAAAAAAATGGAAAACGCAAGCATTGAGGAGCGTTCGTCACAGTGGAGGCCAATTAGGAGCTCTTCAATTTAGCACTGGCTCGGTCATGATCTTTGATACAAGTTCCGTCTTGCCTGGCTCCGAAACTGGCCTAGAAAGCAACTCACACTTGCATCCAGTTTTGCTCGACAATGACTGAGGGCACAACACCCCCTCGATGAAACACCAGCTTCCCATGAGGCAGGAAGCTGTTCGATGATGGACATCTTGTGCTGAGTGCTGCCAGGATCTTGAATTCATTGCCCCGTCTCACCTCTGTGTTAGATCTCTGGATCTTCACTTTTTTTCTCACATTTCAAGCGGATATGAGCCAGCTCCGTTTCGGTTTCCTTTGGGGGGGCGGTTTGGGTGTGCTTTTTTGTTTTGGTGGTTGGGCTTTGGTGTGTTGGCCTCTTTGGTTCTGGCTCGTATCCTCGCATCCGACTCTTCGAATTCATCCAAGGTGACTTGTGCCTCTCGGCACACACAGCGCCCGTACCCGTGCAAAAAAAAATCCCATGGAATTGAGACTGACCATGTTTCGCTCTTCTTTCTCGTCTCACTTTTGCATGACTTGCATGAGTTGCTTGCTGCCAGGAAGCTTGCTTTTCCCTTTGTTGGGTTTTGGTTTTTGTTTGGTTTGGTTGTTGGTTGCTTGTTTCATTTCTAGCTGGTATTTCACTCATCCGCAGCACAAGATGACCTGTGCAATTTGTGCACACATGGCGTCTCCACCATGCAAAAAAACTGAAAACTGGCCTTCGCAGCAATTGATTGCCCAGGAATTGTCTCACATCGACTTCATTGCAACGCAAGATGAGCGTGCAAAAAATGAACGCAGAAAAATCGGATGCAAACGAAAGCGTGTGGCAGCACAAAAGTTTCGCTGTCCAAGCATGCCGTGAAGAGACAAGTGTGCAGAGAATGCACAGGTCATCTTGTGTCTTGAAAGTGAGTCTACTGCCAGGAAAAGAAAACCAGGCAGAGCAAACCACCACAAACAAAACCCAAAACCAAACAAACAAAGAAATCTGGCCCGACACTGGACTCAAGTGGGTCATGCAGCGGTGAAACATGGCGAGAAGGGTGAAACAAACTGGGGGCGCCAAATGCAAAACGGCCTCTCTTCGAGTTGTCCATATCATGAAGATTCAAAGGTCGACAGCAAACTTGCGGAGGAGGTGTTAGGGTGCACTCGTGCCGCCTGGACTCCTGACGCGTGTTTGTGGAGGAGTGAGTTCCCTGTATAACTTAGTAGTATTTACTTAAAGCAGGGTGGAGGAGTAATTATATTGGAGAAAAAAAACGGAGAAGCATTGCACCCCTCCACAGGTTGTTGTTGCGTAAGAGAGATCATTCCGTTTCACAAACTGTTTTTGGTGTTTTTCTGAAACAACAATTCAGCGGAGGAGCGGAGGAGTGGTCACGAAGATGTCAACTTTGGGTGTGGGCATGGGAACTCCAGATTGGTAGAAGTTTTGTTGATGCAGTTTCTTGCTTCAAGATGACTTGCAATTCTTCAGACCAACCAGAGTTCCCCCTCAGTGTGTGACACTCACTCTAGTAGGACACTCTTGCGAAGCACTCTTGTCGGACACTCTTGCGTGTCGCTCTTGTGAGACACTCTCGTAGAACACACTTGTATGGCACTCTCGCGGGACAATCTTGTAGGACACTCTTGTGGGACACTCTTGTAGAACACTCTTGTAGAACATTCTTGTGGGCCGCTCTTGCAAAACACTATTGTGGGACACTCTTCTCACTCTTGTGGGACGCTTCGGTAGGACACTCTAAGCGAGTGTTCCACAGAAGTGTCTTGCAAGAGTGTCCTACAAAAGTGTCTCCCACAAGAGTGCAAAACATTGTTTGGGTGTTTGTTTTCGATGCGTTTTGCATTCGGGTTTGTGGGTTCTATCTTGCTTCTTGGGAGTGGCTTCTTTGGATACCAAGCCACTTGAGCCCATCCTGCACTGGTGAAATCTTCTGTCATTCACGGCTGGGAAGACTGAGGTGGTGGGGTTTTTGCAGTCAAACCGTGTGGGGTCATCCTGACCCTTGTCAAGGTTTGTGGGCAAGGCCGCAAGAGTCGACAAGAGTTCGTACAGCTGCAATGGACCTTGAGTGCTAGTGGTCCAGGTCCATTGCAGCTGCACGAACCTTTGTCACACAGCAGATCGGGCATTCGGGCTCATTTTTTTTGATCCTTTTTGCATCTGGCACCGCTAGACCTGCCTCGCGCAAATGTATTGTGTCGGCGTGGGGGTATTGCAGCGTTCCAGATGAGTTTCTCATCAAGGCTTACATTCTAGGCTACCGACTTCAAAGTCTTGAAGATGGCTGTGCTGTTGAGAGTCTCAGTTCGTGCATGGGTGCCTTCTTAAGGGTTGGAGGGTGTGTCTCCCCTTAAGAATTAGAGACACGCAGATGGATGCAACTCAAAACAAACCTTGTAAAGGCTGTTCACAAGGTCCATTCCAGATGTCTCTCACTGTGCGCCATGGTTTAATGCTGGGAACATGGTGGAAAATCTCTGCGCGTGAGTTCTCCACAGTGCGCCAGGAAACATTGGCAGCAAAGGTTGCATAGCTACATTTACTACAATTTTGGTTTTGTTTTGTTTCTTGGTTTTCGCATTTGGGGCATACTTGGCCATCAATGGTGCATGAAAACATTGCCCTTTAGCTGCGTCGGCTGTTTGCCAAGGTTGCAAAATATGCCGCCAAGAGGCCAAACCCGGTGAACATTCAAAGTTGGATGAGCGAATTCGGGCAACCGAAGCAATTGGCAGAGTTTTTGTGCCATGAAATGCCCATCCGGTATGCTGAACGAATCCGGTGCATTGAACTTTGGCAAAACATTCAATCTAAGAACCTGTTTGTCTGGCTTGAAGGTGCATAACAATTTCCAAGTGTGCGCCCGAATGTCACAGAATGCTTCATAGGGGGAGAACAGTGTTCCGTTGTTTTTTGCATTCAATCAAGCTTTGTCAGAGAGTCTTTGTGCTTAATTGTTGTGCTTGATTGTTACATGTATTTCAAAAGTCTTAAGATTAAACATGGTTGCTAAGGAAACAATCTCTGAGTGGAGACACGTGGAGGAACTCGCTGCCGTGCACGACATCCAACTGAATGCGTTTGAAACATTTTCTCAACAGCAAAGGAGCCTCCAGGGTGGGCAGAACAGTGTTTCCGTTTGATTTTTTCGCTGTGGCTGTGCCATGCTGTGCCACAAGATTATTGTTGGTCCTTTCTTGTTGGAACCTGGGGCTTTGCTGCGCTCAACTCCTGGTTTCTCCTGTAAAGTGCTCAATTATACTTGTTGTGTTTACGTTGCCTTGTGTGTAGGTTGACTAGGCTGTTTTAGAAGTGTGGAATTTGGAATGTCTGATTCCTTGGTCTTCATTGTTTTTTTTCCTGTTCATTTCAATATTCCTGACAGGTTGGTAGAATGAAGCCAATCCAGAAGTTGAACCCATTATCTCCAGACTTCAGCTGCGGGTTACAAACTCGTGCACCACGTCCACTCAGTTGCTTCACTAGTTATCCTTCATCAAAGTTGTTGTGCAAGGAGATTGCAAGAAATCCATCGCATGACGCTGCATGTTAGCATATGTGGATGTCAACGAAGTCGGTTCATGACTCAACAGCCATCTTACAATCTCAAACACAAACATTGTTGGGTGAACTCTTGAAGAACCGCTGCAGGACTCAGTGGGAGGATGCTTCACAGTTCAAGGCGATGGTAGAGGATGTGCAGTTGGAAGACAGACGAACCAAGTTTTTGCTGATGCAGGCAGGATTGTTCCTGCGATGATATCCACTCAAAGTTTCTTGAAGGTTGCAGTGGTGGGAAGAACTGGGTTGCTTGAAAAAGCTAACTGGCTGCTTGAGCATATGACAACTTTTGCAGTTTGCACGAGTGGGCCGTGCCAGGCAGCTCAAAAGCTGCGGGCTCAACGCCAGAGCGACAGCTTTACTGACCCATTTTCTCTCGAACTGAACAAGTTCTTAGATGATTTTCTCTTAAGCCGCTTGGGTTGCAACATGCTCATGGGTCAATACCTGGCATGCACTACCTCACGGTCCAGCATAGTAAACCCACAGTGTGACGCCTTCGAAATTTGTCAGAAGGCTGCGGACGAGGTGAAACGAAGGTGCCGCAATTCTCAAGGCCGTGTGCCTTTGTTGAATGTTCGGGCCTTTACGATGTCTGGGCAAATGGCAACTGAAGGCCACGTGCCACGCTTCTCTTACATTCCAGGTATTCTCATGCACGTGGTGCGGGAGTTGCTGAAAAATAGTTGTCAGGCAAGTCTGGAACTGGCCAAGTCAGAGGCTGAACTTGAGGATATGCCCATTGATGTCATTGTCTGCGCCGACAAGCAACATGTGGTGATTCGAATCACTGACTGTGCTCGGGGAATTCCCAGACATGTTGGAAGCAAGATTTGGTCGCCACTCAGCTGTAGCTGGCTAAAAGCAGCTCCCTCTCTCTCTCTCTCTCACTCTCTCTGACACGTTAAGTTTGATTGGCATTTGGCGTGACAATGTTTTCCGCATTTGATAGGCGATTGTGGGTATGTTGAAAGGCCTTTTTCGCTTATCAGCCCAGCTCTGCATGTCATTGTCTTGGTCTTGAGGTATCTCTACAGCGGCAGCCCAACGGCGATGACTGGACTAAGCTTCGGATATGGCATTGGATCCTGTTTCTATTGTGGGAGACTTTTATCCTTTTTTGGTGTTAAAGGTTTCGAGTTCAGAAATCCAGTGACCCAAATCCCTTTTTTTCCTCTCATGGCAGCCTGGGATGTCGCAGCGTGAGAGGACTTTTTCATGAGCCAACCATGAGAAAGAGCTGCTATATAATCATTGGAAGGGGGGTCAGTTTGCCTCCTCACCACCCTTGGGCATGTGAAGGATTGCCGCTGTCGCGACTGCATGCGAGATATTTGGGCGGCTCTCTTGACCTTGTGTCCCTCCCAGGGTATGGGGTCGATGTGACCTGGCGAGAAATTGGAGGGCCTTTTGTTACTAGTAGCGTCCTTGCTCCTAGTAGTAATGCCAGGAGCCCCTAGTGGCGATGCCCTTTGCTCCCAGTAGCTTCTTGCTCCTAGTAGTAGATACCATCTCATGGACCAGTGCTCTTTTTGCTGTCAATTCGGGTGCTTGTCGGTGGTTTGGGAGGGAGGACAAAGCTTAGATTGTTGACGGATGAGGGATGAGTGGAAACAAAAAGAGTCCTGCTGGTGGATTTACTGCCATCTTTTCTTGGCTTGTTTGAGGCATATCTGAGCCTACCCCGGGTCGAGACTGATCTCGTGGAAACGATCCCTGACAATGTGGAGCAGGATGCAACAGAAGTTTCGCAGCAGATCAATTTGCTCACTTTGTGAAGTGTCAACCACGAAGATGATCCGATTGTAAGCGGAATACCGAGAACACATTTGGCATTGGATTAGGTTTGATAGATGTACATAGAGAGCTCAGGCAGTGGCTCGCTCTTAATCGGACTGAAGCCAATGTGCCCAGCAAAAGTGATTACATTACATTGAGCCATTGAGCACTTACTGTATATAGTTTGCCAGAGCGACGTGTGCTGTTATTGTCCTGGGTCGCGGGCTGCCACTATGTTCAAATGTATACACTGCAGCTTCAAATGGCTCAAAGGGTTACTGTAACCCTCAGAACAAAAGTTGCACCAAATTGTTGCCACCACCGACCCACCTTTGACATATTTTCTTCTTTCATGCTTTTGTCCATGAGAATGACCCACTTTCGGCATTGACAGAATGACATAACAGAGGGCACACGAACCCTCTTGCTTGTCATGGACTTTGGCTGCGAAGGAGACCGGCGAGGGTTCCAGTGTTGTGCAACCAGTACAGTCTGAAGGGGGCGTTTCCCGTCAAATTGGTAATCTCGGGCAGGATCACGAAAGTGACCTTTTTGGAGGTTAGGTTGAGTTTGATTTACATCGAAGAAAAGGAATGGCGAAGATTGGCTTGGTTGGATGCAGAATGTGGAGAAGGAATGACAACAGGAAGGGACCCCTACCCCACCTGGTCTTGTATTCCCTACTTTGCCGCGTATTACACCATGATGTCAATGATGCCGGCAGGTGTTTTCCTCGAAACCCTCGCAGGAAGCGAGCAAACTTTCAATGCATTGGCCGCTCCTTCTCGCTCCTAGTGAAGTAACTAGCATGACCATCCCGGCAGCCCTTGAGGTGCTGCGACTCAGGCTGGAGTGGATTTCATTCGCTCGCTTGGTTGTCTTTTGTTTTGCTTGCCTAATTTCACTTCCCTCTCTCATTGCCTCTCGCCTTACTTCCTGTGTGTACCTGCTGTCATATCACCATGAAGCTCGTCTCGTCACACACGTTTTCATCTAATCTTGTTACTTGCTTAGGTCCCAGACCATCCTCAAGTCCTTGTTGTCCACGTCCGCAGACCTTGGGGAAACTCTCTTGCTAAGCAGGACATGATGTGGTACTAGTGCCCCGGCAGCTGCTGCTTGAGGCGCTCAGCGTGTCCGGAGGAATCTGTTGAAACCTTTGTAGCTTCTAGCTACTAATAGCGATGCCGCTGCCCTTGTTACTAGTAGCTTCTAGCCTTCTAGCTACTAGTAGTAATGCCCTTGTTACTAGTTGCGATGCCCTTCTTACTAGTTTCCAAGTTTGCAACCATGTGTACAATTTAGTATGGTTGAATGTCCATCACCTTGCTTTCCAATGTCACGAAAATCACTGGTGAGGTCATCGCCGATGGCTGCTGCCCAATTCATTTGCGCATGCAGCTTTCGAGGGCTGATGCCTCAGCAAAATCCAGGAGTCGGATCTGCTTACTCTGGAGCTCTTAAACTTTAGACGCACCAAAAATTGGGACTGGAAGAGACAATCGGTGTAACTGACAAGTTGATCATGAAATGCTACTCACTGAGAGGCGCTTGCACAACGGTGTCCCTGTCTTTGTACAGTTTGACGAAGGGTGATGCAAACACGACTATGTTAGACAAGAAAGGGCCGACCCTGTGTTTCGTTGATCACCAACATGTATATCGACGGCAATGAGTATTGAAGTCAAGAGTATAAATCAGTTGGTTTAAAAGAAGGGAGGCAACCTTGAAGGATTAGGATGATGCTTCAGGTGAGGTTTTACGCATCCAAGGCACTGACTAGCCTTATTTCTTGCCTCGAAAAGAGAAGAAGTTGTTCTGGACAAGCAAGCGGGTCAACCTGTTATTGATGATGCTTTGCAAAATACATTCGAGTTGAGTAGACAGTAGACATGTTTGTTCCTATTTCGCTGTGCGGTCGATGACTTACGATGCATTGCTTGGACTTTCACCTGCATAACTGTCCGTTTTCATGAGGTGTCTGAAACTGATGTGGACACAAGTAGGACTATGATCATGCTTCAGCAAAAGAGACGATTCCTTAAATATCGTGTCTTTGAACTTTGCCTTTGTTTGTTCTTGGTATTCATGCTCTGGTTCAGTCACGTTGAAATTTTGCCGCATTGTCTCGCACGTCTCGCACAGCGGAATGGCACTTTTCGTGCAGAACTGTGCCGACTAAGCTGAGGTGGTTGACGGGGGGTCCTGCTCCTCAAGCCAAAGGCGGATACCTGCCTTATGCCAGTCTGAGAATCGAAGATCAACTGTATAAGGCAACTTTTTCCAGATTTCACAGAGTCAAAGGATCCTTCTACACTGCAGGATGTTGACCTCGGTGGAGCGCTTGGGTGCCGAGGAGAGGGGACGAAGGCTAGAGACATCTCGAATGCGAATGTTTGGTTTGGACGAACAAGAAGCTACTAGGTGGAGGCCATCGCTACTAGCAACAATAAAGCTTTCATTTTTAGGTAATTATTGGTAAGTACGTTTGAACGGGTTGGAGAAGCGATGTTGAGAGATTCGTCTCATCTCAGGACGATCCTCAGACCAATCAGCCTTTTTGCATAGGCACTGGAGATTCTTACGACGATCCTTTTGGGTGTTTGCGATGTGTCAGTCTGGTCGGGGAATGCAAGAACAAGGTTCTCTCTGGCTAGAGCATATGATGTCCGCGGATCTTCTAACCAACTCACATGAAGCTTTTCCATGCCTTGTCCAGGTCACTCCAATCTGAAGGTGCCGTCTGCAAAGAAGGGCTGTGGGGCTTTGATTGAACCAGATGGATACTGGTGGTGTTGAAGCAGAGACGATTTTGCATGAACTGTAGAATACAGGATTCGCACTCAGCGGTTGTCCCGACTTTTTGTTCAATATTTATGTCAGAAGGCTGTAGGCAACGTTCATCAATACGGGCACACACCACTCAAGGGCTTGGCTCAAGTAGCGCATTTGACTGCACTACATGCAAGGTGAGGTCCTCAACCGCAACAGACCAACCCTTATTTGTAATATATAAATTGTACCTTTTTTGACAAGAATAACACCCTCCAAGTAAGATGAGTTTAGTGCAATTTTCTCCAGGCTTGGCTTCAGATTTCCTTTCGACCTCCACAGTTGCAAGCAGATGAATCATTTGAGGGATGAGAGACTCATCCAGTGAAGTGAACAGATTGAAGTAAATCTGAGATCACCAACTTTGACATGGCAAAGTACTCCGCTGGAGTCTAGCCGCTAGCCTTGGTGTTGGGGTTTGCCCCGGCGACATTGCCCGAATGCAGTCTTTCTATGGCAATTTCGTGGCGGTTCCAGAGGGCACAGCGGGTGGGTTCTGCAGCGGAGGGAGTCGGAGCAGCAGTTGTCCACCTGCGCGGTTGGGGGCCGTGTCGACTGGAGGCCCAAAGTCAGTCTTTGCACCTGTTACTACTAGCGTGGCACTTGTTTCTAATAGCTTCTTGTTACTACTAGTAAGGCACCTGTTCCTAGCGTGGCACTTGTTCCTAGTAGCGTGGCACTTGTCAATGAAAGCAGAAGACTTTTCATGCGTTGACCTCAGTACCCGAGCACCCATAAAGGTCTTCTTCAATTACCATCACATGCTGAGAACCATCCGGCATTTCGAAATAATCGGGTTGGTTTGTAAAGATCCTTCTTGTTTCATTCGGTTCCTTCCAGGTGATCGGCACTCTTTCTACGACAGCTTCTGGCCAAAAGCCAAGGTGGCACCCCCAATTTTCGTCTCCTCTGTGGGGCGTACAGAGAGCGCCCTGGCTTTGGATCGAAGGCTGAGGGCCTGTGAGGCAATCCCCGCGCTCGTGGCTTTGCTCTCCGAGCTGACCCACTTCGATGTGGGGAATGTGGTCATTGCGCTGAGCTCCGGCGCCAAGATCGCGGATGAACGGACCAATCCCGGCAAAATGTGACATGCTGTGACTTAAAATGTGGTGGAGGCCATCGCTAGTAGGGTGGAGGCCATCGCTGGTAGGGTGGAGGCCATTGCTAGTAGGGTGGAGGCCATTGCTAGTAGAGTGGAGGCCATCGCTAGTAGGGTGGAGGCCAT